TTAGGCGTGAGAATCTTTTACATGCAATTACTAACATGGACAGCCGGCCTTACTTCCCTCCAAAGGAAGGCCGTACGAAGGAAGGGCAGAATGGCGGACCGAAACGTCGTCACCTTCGCCATCGCCGCGGCGGCGTCAACCAAGACAGCAAAATTAGATGAGCGTGAGGCTCCGGCCGCGGGAGCTACCTCCCACCCGCCAGTATAATTTCACTACTTCACCCGTACGCCGGGAGTTTGTGCTGGCTTAGCACGTACGGTGATGCTGCAGCGCCCACAGCGTGTTAGAGCAGCCTTCCGGATCTCATGGAAGACGCGGCGAGCAGCCCGCCAGCTGCTTCACCCACGAACGCCTTCACCAGAAACATCTTGAACGAGCGGTGATGCCCAGGATGAGGCGCGCCCCGTTCAGCTTGAAGCCGCAGCACCAGCGGGATGATCACCTGTTGCATGCGCGCGTTGCTACGCCGCGTCTGCAAGGCAACGCGGGCAAACCAGTTGAATTACCTCCGGTGGGGGACGCCTTGTTCAACGGGCTTGGTCCCGCGGAAGAGAGGGGGGGGGACTAGAAAAGTTTCATTTAAAAAAAATTTTATTTATTTCGTTTTTTAAAAAATTCCCTTCCCGTTTGGTGGTGTATTCAGAAGCAAAAGAAGGTCAAGTTTCTTCATTTCAATAAACTGAAATTCACGTCAATGTTCCAGAAGACTGGAGTAGAAGTGCGAGGTCTGTTTTTTGACTCACAGAAAGGCAACATCCAATTATATTGGCGAAGAGTATTTATTTATTCATTCATTTAAATTTATTTATTTAATTATTTATTTATTTATTTATGTCAAAAACAGTTAAAGACTGTGGGTGACGTGCTATGGAGAGAATTTAATTTGAAGTTACATTTATATTCAGAAGCAAAAGAAGGTCAAGTTTCTTCATTTCAATAAACTGAAATTCACGTCAATGTTCCAGAGGACTGGAGTAGAAGTGCGAGGTCTGCTTTTTGACTCACAGAAAGGCAACATCCAATTATATTGGCGAAGAGTAAAAAATAAAATAAAACAACAAACAAAATCTAACAAATACGACAAACAGTTCATGTGTAAAGTAAATCAATATGAAGTGATAGGTCAATAAAAGTAAGCATTTGGTAATCAAATATGAAAATTGTAGACTAAAAATAGGTGCTATTAAAGTTTTTTCCCCTTAAAATGCTTTGCTCATTATCATTCTCAATTGCATTAATTTCATAAAAGAACGTAAATGTAACGACTATAAGATATTTGATAATATCATTGAATACATATGTATTATCATTCATTTAGAAATTGATCGACAGTCCTGTTTACAATGAGACTAAGTGAACATCCATAAATTATGTTTTTAATCTTTAATAATATGCAGAAGATCAAAACAATAGTGTATCTAATACTCAAGTCTGATGCGATTACTTATCGTTGAGTCAAGTTTTCGGAAGACTATGGTTAACTCATTTGAAATAAATAAATAACTAGCGGAAGTAACCTGAAGTTATCTTGGAATTTATTTACCACAACCATTTATTAGAGAAGAAAATAAATGATTGCGCTAGGAAGTAATTTTCCAACACCCCCGCTCCAACTAGCTCCGCCCCGCTGCACTCTCCCCCCGCCCACTACCATGCCCTCTATCAGATCCTAATATTCAATTTTGACCATCAATACCTCGATGACTAATTGCGCAGTTAGATTGAATCGGAACGAATTTAGTAAGACATTTTGTGAATTTTCAGAAAATGTCTATATACTTTTCAGGATTTCGTTATGTCTAGAGATTTTTGCGACTATTTTAGGAGTGCTCAAGTTCTGAATTATGGGTGTTGTAAGTGGACAGGGTAGATTTTATGAAATACCACGTAGAAAGCAAACTTTTAGATGGTTTGGTGGCCTCTTGTTAAAAAATTTCAACAAGATGGGGTGAAAGTTGCACATTGGTATAAAACTAGTGGCATAAAATCTTCCAGTGAAAATATTATAGAAATTCTTGCTGCGTTTCCTGAGATTAGCCCGGAACAACAGACATACGTAATGACAGACAGAATAAGTATAAAATCATTACAATTGCAATGTTTCATGTCAATAACTGAAATTGTTCTTACCATGCCAATAACCACAATTTCTTATAAAAAGCTAATATTTTGAAATCACACACATGTACTTCAATTTTATTTATAGTATAGCTGAGGTAGTTTTTATTAGTTTTCACGTGTGATCATTAGACGTTATTGTCTTAGTATTGCTAATAGCACTACTCTTTGGAAAATTTCTAGATATAATTATCCTAGAGCTTAAGAAGTAAATGTTTGAAAATCAGTCCATAATACGATACAGCAAATGTTTCTACTTGCCACAATATAACAGTTGCTGACTTTTTTATACATTAATCAGCGCTTTTTTAGGTAGGTGTATGTGAATGATATGTTTCACACGTGAATAAACGACATTAAATTGTTTTTAATTGGTAGAGCCAGAGAGCTCGTAAATCTAGTAAATTTCCTGGAAAAGCCCAATACGCCCTTCAACGGACTCAGAAAACTGTTGACAACCTCATAATAAAATGAAAAGTAACTTAAATAAAACGAGTTGGGCATAAAAAACGTTTTCGCTACAACCAATGTAACAGTGGGACTAAGTGAGCACGGCGTGTCAAGAAACCGCTAAACAGCACATGCTCTAATAAACCTGCATTAAATACTAACTGACCATGTTCACGCTGCATGGTGCAAACATTCAGTATATATTTAAACCAAGATCATCCTTCTGGCACGTGCACTGACGGTATCCTCCACAAGTGCTGCGTGACAGAATCCACGGAAAACTTTTCCGCCCCCCTTCCAGAAGGAAAAAAATCTGCTCTTCCTCGTATATGTAGGATGATCCTACGTCATAAACTTTGCACGTTACGCCTACCAGCTGATTACTATCACCAACGTTTAGCAGAAGAAATAAAATGTTTAATTAATAAGAAAAAAATTGTATTTCAAGTTTGAAAACTTCACCTATCATATCCTTCGAAATATACAGTATTCTTAATTTCGTCACTCAATTATTTACCTATTCCATGCCTAAGAATATATATATATATATATATATATATATATATATATATATATTGCCACCCTCTTTCTCAATTAAATAAGTTTCCTTTAGCTTTTATCTTTACATCCCCTTTCCATAGATCTGTGGAACTCTTCCAAACTCTGGTGGACTCACAATCTTTCTAACTCTTGAGTTCATTTGACTGATTACTGATTCTGGGCGCGTCAATTTCTGTCATTAATGCCGTAAGAGTAGTGCATGTTTTCGCGCGGGTGGTGGCGGTGATCTTTCCCCGCTGTTCGGCCAGATCCGGCCCCGACCTACAGTCAGCTAGCGGGATTTTCCCCAATAGGTATCTCCCCCAGCGGGACACCGTTCCTGTCAGGATACGCTGTAAGCTTCCGACCGGCATGTATGGTAGTGTGCTAGTGCAAGTAAGAGGTAGAACAGAACAAGGAATGGGAATGAAAGGCGTAGCCGGAGACCCGTTCATAAGGGAACTGCTCCGGCACTCGCCTGGTGTTGATCGGGGAAACCATGTAACCACCGATTAGAGCAAGCTGTCGCTAGAATTCTCATTCAGACAGTGAGTGGACTCGATCGTGTGCCAGTGTCGAAAATCCTGGCGTTGTGGGGACTCGAACCTAGGACTTCCCGGTCAGAGGCACTACAGTGACGTCAGTTGATGCTCTGAGCCACCTCTCCCCGTCTTCAAACATACTACCAAATCACTTTGATGCCACACAACGCTGCTTTCAACAAGTAACCCACGCTTTATAACCTTCCCAGCGCGGGAGGCACCCGCTACAAGCAGAGAACCTGCTGCGCCGCGCAAATCCCGCTTGTGCCGGCAAAATTTGCTGTGCCGACAAATCCCGCTTGGCTGCTGGCCGCATCCAGGGGCCACGGGCGTCCATGGGCGCGCAGATTACGGGTATCTGCTCTCCCAAATTGCAGCCCGGCGCGCTTTCCGGGCGGGTGCTCCCAATTACGGCCCCTCTCCCCCCCTCGACCACAACTGGTGCCTTACAGGCGCCATTAGCGCACGGCTGAGCGCCTACCGCGACGCGCGCCCAGCCGGAGGTGGCCGGGACGCGACTGGTTTTTGTTTGGTTTATTTAAGGTCGCATTAACATCTAGGTAATTAGCGACAACTATTGCATTTAACGTATGGTAAATGTAAATATGGGGATGATAGGGAATGAAAGGATGATCACAAATATTGCCATGCCCGAGGCGGGATTCGAACCCACGATCCTTCGGCACCACTACGGCACTACTGCCTTAACGATCTTTGCATTTCGGACCGGCCAAGTTGTTTTTGTTCTGATTTTTGTTTATATTTGGACAAATAGCTAACGTGTATGTCACAAATAAGAGATAATGAATAAGATTTTATTGTTCGTGGGCCAATCAAGGTTACTGTGATCTTCAGTGCATCGCAAGCGTAGTGCGTTAACCGTGTTTCTTTCCACTAGGACGTGAGTACCTGCGTCGTTCTACACGTCGGCTTGATTGTGTGGGTTGCACACAGTTCTCCTTGAGGTATCTCTTCTAGGGAGCACCTGGGATAAGCTGTAATGTCTGGTTCTAATGTGTGTGTGTGTGCGTGTGGTAGGGAAAAGGAGAGGTAAAATACGCGAAAGGCTGGTCTGTTTTGAGTACTGCTCCGAAATTCGCTAGGAGAAACGACGGGAAACTACGAAACAGAGCACACCTCTTCAATTCTCCTTGAGTCAATGGTTCAAAACAACCCAGCTCATATCGAAAATCTGCCTTCTTCGGAATTCCAGCCCAGGATTTTCCGCTCAACGATACTGCAGAGGCAAACCCGTGAACATCAAGCTAAAGACGTAAGTACATGACAATATTTCAAAGATCACATAGACGTGTTATGGAGATTTGGGAAATTAAATAATTAATAAGTATTAATATTGAAAATATTCTGACTTTTTTGCGTTACAATTGATCTCACGAATTTAACATGTTAACATTATTAGACTCGCAGTTTTTATTCTAATGACTATTATCTTTTTTAATATGAAATACTATTCAATAGTTTTAATATTGTAACAAAACATTTTAACAAACCAGTAGCGAAGATTATTGAGAAAAACAAAATGTTAGAAATAAAGAACAAAATAAATTATTGAAAAACAGTATTAATGTGTCTAATTTGAAAAAAGTTAAAATATTTTTAAAAATAATAACGAGATAACGAACAACATATTCCTTAAACATAGTTGGTGTTGTGTGTGATCTTGGCTGTCCGGGTAATGCCGTGTCGAAGGCTGTGTTCCCGACGTTTCGACCATCTTGTCGTGGGTGGTTCATCTCAGGGCTGTATCCCTGAGGAAGACCACGACAAGATGGTCGAAACGTCGGCAACACAGCCTTTGACG